TGCCAGCACGGTGAGATCAGCGAATTGCCCGGGCTAAAACCACGCTGAGAGCTGACTAACTGTGCCTCAGGGGATCTGTAACACGGCGACCTGGTAAAGCAAACAAAAGCATATAGCTGTGGGGTAGGAGGTTGAACCACTATGTCAATGACTTAGGAAAAGCTAGAGGAATGGTCCAAGCCTGGTAGCGTGGGGTGCAGCATTTACTGGAGCAGTGGGGCCGTGCCTGAATCAGCCTCTGTAAACAGTAGGAGTCCCTGAGTGTCAGTGTCGTGTCTCACTCTCATTGGTAAAGTCACTTTCACCAACAGCCATTTTGAAGCGCTGCTGTCAACAGGTAAGGAAGAGTGTCAGCACTGCAGCACAGGGATCTCCACTGCTGGAGGGGCATTAGGCCAAAGAGCTGTAGTGGCACCAAGCTCCAGGGCAGGAGACCCAGGGACATGTGGATGCCATGGCTTAGCCTGGTCCCAGGGCCCAGAGGTAGGACAGTGGGGATGAGGCAGGTGACAGTGATCCCTGCTGCATAGCACAGCCGTCACCTGCCTGGAAGTTTGAATGCAGTACACCTTGCTTCCCCAAACCAAATTCTCACCTGTTTCAGAGACAGCTCCCTGGAGCTGAGATAGTCAAATTCTGGTCTGATTTACTATATAATTGGTAGTAGACTATTTAAAGTGTTTCAGAGAGTTATATCCATGCCCCTGCACAAAGCAGCAGAGCATAGCTAAATACAAAGAAGGACTTTCATCTGCTGACAAAAGCATGTTTTATCTGTTCCTGTACAGAAGCAACAAACTACTGGCAGAAATGTCAGTCTGGCTCAGTGTATTGGAGCTATTCAGAATATGGATTAAGATCAAAAAGTACTTTCTCTTATCACAATGCTTCCCAAAATAAATGTAATTCCTGTTCTTATTTTTCAATTCTTTCCAAATTTCAGTACCCCTTAGAAAGACTAGCACTCCTACATACTTTCAAAAACCAAATGTTTTGTTGGGTTTTTTTATAATTAGCATGTTGTTCCACTACTTATAAATCAGTAAACCTGGTTTGCATTTGGCATATTGATTTGGTTAAACCAGAAGAGGAAAGCAGTTTGTTGAACAAGACCTCAATTTTGCAAGGAACTCCTTGCTGCACTAAAGTAAAAGGCATTGCTGGGATAGTCATGCCAATAGAAATGGTCTGTGGAGTTAGAAAACATCTAACCTCTCCCTGTAAAAAAAGCCACAAAACTACATACCACTCAGAGACATACTCAAAGGAATAGGCAGTCTTAAGAGAGTGAAGTGTTACCTAAACATGTTATAATTATCTGGCATCACTACAAAGCAGGCAGGTTTTGGGAAATTCAGAAGACATACCTTTTTTAACAGGACCCATACACAACTGTCCTGGTCCTTCTTTCTCATTTCACAGAAAACTAATGCACACATTTAAGTGTGCATGCATAAACAGCCATAAAATGATGGGATGACCCAAGACTCAAGTGAAAAGTGTAAGGGCCTCGATTCTGGAAACATTTGTCTGAGCATGTTTTCACAGCTAACTGCCTTTATCTCTGCGGTAACTCACTGAACAAAGAGAAAGTACCAAGAAGAAAACCATATTGTATTACAAAAGGAAAAGGGGAAGAGTTGCTAAATTTCTATGCTCTCCAGCGCTTACTCATCCTTAGCCAGAATATCGTCAAAGTGAGGTGAGAACTGTTAATATTGCTCCAACTCTCCCGAGTTGTATAGCATTTACTAGGTGTTCACTAGTACAGTAGTCCTAAAAATCAAAATTAACAAACCAACAAAATAACCAACCATACAACTCCCAACCCCAGTATATTGCTGTAATTTGCCTGTGAGTCAGCTGAGATGTGAAATAGTAATGGATTGAATTTGGACAGTGACTATTTTAAGATGCTGGACAGTAGCTGAGGCATCTTACTCTCACAGGCACTTACTGGAATTTAAGAAGTTCAGGATGCTTCTAGTTGTGGGGAAATACCAACTCCCATTGCTGGGCTTAGGAAAATGGAACTGGATTCTTTTTTGTCCCTTCTCATAAAATATTTTAGGATGTGAAATACTATTTTTAGAGGGTTTTTTGGTCCTAACTATCAACTGCGGCCTTGGTAGGAGGAAAAAGGAGTTGGAGGAAAAATTATACTTGAGATTTTGGAAGCAGAAATTACTTAAAATAGTGAAAGAATTAGAGAATCCCCTTAACAAACTATGTGAAATTACTCTTGGAAAAAGCCATCCTGACAACAGAGTTAATACAAGGGAGATTAATTACAATGAGAAATGTATTAAAATGGAGCTAACTCTAGCAACCCAAATTCCATTAGGCAAAAAAAGCAAGAAAAATCCTTCATCCCCCATTTTTTGAATGCTTAGAAAGCCCCTGATGAGCTCATGCACATTGCTCCCTATAACAAATGTGGAATGGAAAAAAAAAAGGCACCAAGTTCTGAAGGTATCAGCCTTCTCATTCATTGGCATCTATGGATTAGAAATGGGAGAAGTGGTTTGCTAAAAATAAAATGTATTCTAAAGATAACAGGAGAAAGCAGAGACAATTTTTTTCCTCAGGGTTAAGATTGTAAAGTTTTAAAAAGTCCTGTATGCAAATTACACATTCACACACTTTCAAAGATGAGATTACATCCCCATAAGGTACAACTGCAGAAGCTTTTCAGTTGAAGTAGGTTGACATGTTATGAAGAATACTCTGATAGAGGATGAATTGGAGGCCTGAGAATCCCAAAATGACAAGAGTATTCAAAGAAACTGAAGTTCTTGACACGCTGCCCTGAGAATGCAGATTAAAACAGGTTTTAAAGTCTCCTTAGCAAATACCTGTTGGTGAAAGCATTTTGGAGGACTTTGTAAGAATGAAGGAGAGGGAGCAGGTGGAAAACTCACTTCAATGCCTGGGCAATGTAAATGGAGAGAAACCAGAAAATTTGGGCTCGTGATAACTTTTATGGATTCTACTAAGGTTAGATTTCCCTGATTGATTGATATTATTCCCATTATCTGCTTAGTTCAATATAAGTCTTCAGTTTAGATATGAAAATTTCCTTTTTTTTTTTTTTGGGTTAAAATGAGAAAGTTAGAAGAGAGCCTCTATGAGTCATTTTGGGCTGAAAACATGCAGCAGCTGCTTGAGTGTACTCATCATAAAAAAGCACCTATCACCCCTGCCTGTATAAAAGCCCCTAAAGTGTTTCCTTTCCAGTATTAGCACTCACTGCTCAGTGACAACAAAGAAAGCAACTAAGGTGTGTGCAGGAAGCTAAATGACTATTTACTTTTTTTTTCCTATAAGACACACCAAATTTTTTGTATAGCAAATGAATTGCTTTTAAGAGGATGTAAATTCAGAAAAAGTTTGAAAGAGATAAGAGTTTGAAAGAATTAGACTGTCGCTTTGAAAAATACCTTCACAATTTTATTATAATTCCTTCTTCAAGAAAGTAGTGTAAGACAGCCCTGTGAGCAGAACCAATGTATGTGCTTAATGCTGCTTGAATGTCAGATTCTGAGAAGTGACCCCCATTTCTGATAAGTGTACCAGGAAGTTCATCTCCGTGAGGGCTTCTATGTAAAAACATTATGGTTTTGTACCCCTCAGTGTATCAGCATAGCTCATTTGTATAAAAGCATAAACAACAAGTGGAAAAGTTTGTTCTTGTGAGAAAAGGGTGTGCCTGTCCAATTACTGAGATTACAGGCATTTGGCAAACACTCCCAAAAAATCAGCTAAGTTTCATTTACAAAGGTATTTCCTTCTTTCATTATGTCCCACTTTCTGCACGACTCTCTGGACATTTTCTTCACACTGCTTCAGCGAAAGCCAAACCATACTGGTTTTACATCCCTGACTACATTTTAGTAATTATTTTTTAATTGGACTTTCTAACAAAGTATTTAGTAAGATGATTGTCCCAGGCAAAAGAAAAACAAATCACACTAATTTGGCACATCCATTGGTAAGCTTCTGTTAAAGTCTTACATTGACTTTAATCTTTTTGCATCACGGCACTGGGATTCAGAGAGGAGCACCCTGAAAGATTTGGCCGCAAAGGAAGAGAGAGAGCACTGAACAGGGGAAGTGATGGGCTGAGCATCTGTACCCACAGTTCCTCAAGTGCTAAACTGCAGAAGCTTCTCTAGGTGCAAAGAAAGGCCTTAATATCAATCTAGTAACAAATATTATATAGATTTTTAAATAGATGGCTGCTAAGAAAATAAAATGCTTTTCACCTTCTCGTCTCTGAATAGTCTAGAGGATCAAAAGAAATGGCTACTTGTAGAAATCAGCAGATAGCTACAGATTAGCTACATTTCCTTCACTAGAGAGCCCAGTTTGATGTCCAAATCCATTTTTCAGTAAGTTAACATAAAGATTGGTTTGCATCTAAGTAAAGTTATGGTCAGCATCCAAGCAGTATATCGCTCCATTATATAGACATCTCATTTTTAGTTCATGCAGAGTATGTATACAGAATTCCCCAAAAACCATTGCTGAGAGGAGGGGAAACTATAGCAGATCTTTCCATTTTCCCATCTTATTCCAAAATAGAGAAAAAATAAGAATGCTTCGGCCTCTGGTCCACAGAGCTTTATTATTAACATGAAAACAGGCAGGGCAGTGACCACTTGTAAAGCTCCTACTCACTAATAACAGGGGAAAAGAATAAACCCCAACAAAACCCCAAACCAGAAACTAAAAAAACCCCTGAAATTCAAAGGAATGGATCAGGGTGTAAATTTGAAAGGGGAGTGCTTGTAGTGGTAGGGTCGATGGCTGTATATCTGTATTCCCGTTGTCCATTAGATCTTCTAAAGTAATGAACAGTTTTAATAATGGGGTGAATATCAATGTGCTTAGCTATAGAATAATGCTACTGATGTAAGTCTGTTAGTACTAAAACACACCTACAGTCTTTTGTCTCATTTGCTGTTCTTCTCTCCTAGGTGGCTGTCTTAATTATTGAAACACAGTCCAAAAATAATACTGAAGGTCTAATGCACAGAGCACACAACAGAAGGATCATTGCCAGAAGGGAAACTAACTGTCACATGGATGAATATAATTTAGGTGGTCAGTGTTGCAAGAAATGTAGAAGCGGTGAGTATCAATCCTGTATTGAAAAGTCATTAACAGCGCAAACCACAGCACGCACAACTGCTTTGTTCTGGGATAGCTAAGAGGCATGACATGGTTTCCTGGATGCAGCACTTCCTTCTGGGTATGTTCATTCTTTCTTCATTCTTTCTCTATTACAGGACATCAGCCACTTCAAAAGTATTTCTTGAGCTCAAGGCACCAATAAATTTTCACTGCAGTTCTCATGTAATATGCTTGTTACGAAAGAGCAAAGAATTACATACACATATTTGAAAGAGGTTTAAAAAGTGCAGACACATGCTTTTGCCTACAAGATTCCATATATTCATGGGTTTTTCAATTTTGCATGTACAGTTATGTTTGGTGTGTTCTCCTTCAGTCTTAAATTGAAGGAAGAGGGGATAATCTTATGTATCCTACTTTCCTGAAGTGCATCATATACATGCATAAAGAATATAGATGCCATATTTAGAATCAAAAAGTATTAAGGATTAAAAGGAAACTCTGATGTGTTAGAGCTGATGGCTTCTGTCCAAATTCTTGTTTTTCTGTCTCTACAGGTTTTGTTAAAAGTATCGACTGCCCAACAGACATTAGCAAACACTGTGTTCCAATCCTACTTTCCTGAAGTGCATCATATACATGCATAAAGAATATAGATGCCATATTTAGAATCAAAAAGTATTAAGGATTAAAAGGAAACTCTGATGTGTTAGAGCTGATGGCTTCTGTCCAAATTCTTGTTTTTCTGTCTCTACAGGTTTTGTTAAAAGTATCGACTGCCCAACAGACATTAGCAAACACTGTGTTCCATGTGTAAGTGGAAAGGAGTACATAAGTCACCTCAATGATGCAGAAAAGTGTTTGAGATGCACTTCATGTGACACCGAATTGGGTATGTCTATAGAAATAGCAACTCTAGCAATGACTCTTCTTTGATACAGGATTTTGCTGAAAAGTCTCCGCAATCCCTGAGTAGTGGCTAGGATGCAGATTAAAAACTTTTAGTTGTAGATCTTGAATTAATTAATGAGAAAGTCCTAAGTTTATCCTCCAGTTCCCTTTCATCAAGCATAAAGTAGGAAGAGTAATAGTTGGTCCATTATTTCTCCTTATGTCTGCCTTTGCTCAGCCAAAGCCGAAATCCTTGCAAAGCAGACCCTATACAAACTGGTTAGAGTTAATGAGAAAGAACTCTCCCCCTTCTTTGCCCTCTGTTTAAAATAGGGCTATTGTAAGAAGCAATAATAAGACAATTCCCAATGGTTTCATATTAGTTTTTCATGTAATTAATAATATTGTTTAGAATTGCTGAACCTGATAGATTGTTGCCTTTTATACATTCAAGATGCAATGTGGGATGTAGGGTCAAATTATGAGACTATGAGGCATGGGCCTACTGGGTCAGACCAGTGGCTCACCTGCTTCAGTATTCTACCCCAGTATTCTGCATTCAGCAGTGGAGGCATGAAGTGCTATTTAGAGATAACACAAACCAGTCTACTTTCTGTGTTCTGATCCCTGCAAAGTCTACCAGCATCCACAGCTGTGGGAAAGGACGTTAGAAGGTCCATCCCTACCTAGTCTTTTTAGTGTCTGTTTATGAGCCCTTTGTGCATGAACCTGCTGGGCAACACCAGGTTCCAGAAAATCACTACCTGTGGCATAAATATCCATCACAGACTTTTTTTTCTTTTTTTTAAAATCCATTGAATTTATCTCCTACTAGTTCTCCCAGATGTCCTGTAGATCTAGTATACTTGGATTTAGGGAGTTATAGTTCTTCATTCCTCATATCGATCTCTACTGCTTTCCCCCTCAATATGGATAGAAAAATTTCCTCTCATTTGCTACTATAATAAGCATTTTTGCATGAGTAATGAAGTTGGCTAGAGCAAAGCAATTCAGTATTTTGTACAGTGCCACAAAGGATTATATAATTTGAACTGAAGGGAGGAAAAGGATAATGGAGTGGCTAGTCACAATATTCCATAGACTATAATGTAGTTGGAGTCACTAGTAAACATTAGGCAAGAGGAAAATTATCACTAAAGTTCCATGAGAATCATTCTTAGGATCATTCATGTTTGCGATTCCCATGTGTCACTTTCACAGTGGAGCTTCATCAAATTTGTCTCCCATTACAGCAGAGCACTGAATGTGCTAACTCGAAAGTTCCTTCTATCTCTATATGCCTATGAAAGCAGATTGCATAGTAGGTAGACAGAGTAATTTTTCATGCATAAATAATTTCTCATAGATGAATAGCATCACCATATGAGGAGACCACTGAGGAGAACGTTAATTCATTTGTTTTTATACTTAAACAAAATACGTCACAAGAATATGTTAGCTAAAAAGAGAGGGTGGAATTCCTCATCAGTGGTGGTCCTCAAGCAAAGGTGTAACTTGTCTGTCTGGTAGAGTAAAGAACCCATCTTCAGCATCAAGTAGGCAGGTGGGCTATGCGGTCTTCTGAGTTTCTTTCTGGCTTTACACTTCTGGAAGGGAGAAAGAAGCTGGCATTTGGCAGTGCAGATGTGTCCTCTCATGGCATGAACGTTATCGTGTGATTAGTTTTTGAGCCCTCGGCCAGCAGAGGTCTCTCTGGCAGCTCCGTATTCCCGGCTCTCTGGCAGCCCAGCTGCTTTAGAAGCTTTGTATGTATATTCTAAAGTTCATTCTCGCCAATGCCAGCAGTGGTAGAGCTAGCAGCATGTAAGTCTGAGGACAAGAACTTGTGAGCACAAGCCTGCTTTTTCAAACTAACAAACTTTGAGAAATTAATTTTAGGTTTTGAGGTTGTAAAGAACTGTACCCCAGAGGAGAACACGAAATGTGCCTGTGCAAAGAACAAGTATTGCAGTCCTGAATCATGTGACCATTGCATTCAATGTACTGTGTAAGTTTATGCCTTCATCGCTACATACGAAATTGTTGCTGTCATATGTTATCACCCCTTTTTCAGCTAGTTTCAAGACAGAGACTAAGGTAATCTATAACCTATAGGAAAACATACTAGTTTTCCTTTGCACTTAACCTACTGAGAGTACTTATTTCAGTCAACTCAATTTGCATCCTTGCAGGCTTTCCAAAGGCATCCAGAAAAACATATATCCACTGAGTCCGTATATACTTTTCAAAAACTGCAATAGAGTGTCTGAGCTTTCCTGTTGTCTTTCTGTGATCTCCTGTTACGTGTGAAGAATAATTTCACATCTTTTCCCTCTCCCACAACTCTCTATACCAATTAAATCCCAAACTCCAAGATCCCTTTTCCCTCTCCCACAACTCTCCGTACCAATTAAATCCCAAACTCCAAGATCTTGATATATGTTTAGATGATAAAAAGTCTTGGAAGATTTTGAGAGCAGCTTATAAAGAAAGGAAAAAATCTTATGATAATTTTTGTTGATATTTTCTGCAGATGTGAAAGTGGCATAACTGAAAAACAATGTACTGCAACTTCAGACACTGTGTGTGGAAAGAAAGGTACTGTTTTAAAACTGAGCAAGATCTAGCATCTGCTGTATTTAGAGAGGCTATTGCAATTGTACTCTTCTACCCTCTGGCCCATAGTGATTCCTGACAGCTAGGGGCATTATACCTACTGAGCACTGTACTGACCTGCTAAATATGATTTTCCCTTCATCACTGTGCAGGTGTAGAAGCTATTACTTCTTTCTAGTGGCTACTCGTGATAGGTATGTCTTTAAGGGAGAGGTAGGTTTTGCCATTAGCAAACAGTAGGAAGGCTTTTATAATCTGACACAGTCCTGTTTACAGTTTAGAGTGTGTTGCTGTATTGCATTTCTTGAGTTAATTTTCATGTATAATTTCCAACAGGAATG